ATATATAATCTTCTTTCGGCTGCTCTTCTTCAGGGGTTTCCACAGTGAATTAACTCGCATGAAGACTTGGTAATTGTTTTACGCCGGATGTCCTTCCTGAAACAACCACAGACCACCGGGCTGCCACAGCCCTCTATGTGGAGCAGAGAGCTGCCATTTAGGGCACCCAGGGGAACAGATGGTTGGGGTTAAGGGTCTTGCTCAAGGGCCCATAGTGGGACAAATGAGGGTGGAGGCAGGTGTTGGTGCTTCACCTTTCCCACCCACATTTTAATGTCAGTCAAAGCAGCAATGTAAACTGACCACCCCTACACCCATAACATTTGAAGAAATTAAATTTGCGACCCCCCCCCAGCAGCTCCATAAGCTGACCGTTATGTTTGGTTAATGTGCAAAATGAAATCAATCCAGGTTACTGTACATTTTATGTTGAATTCACATATGCATGTGATCATTTACCAAACCACAGACAACATTTAGCAACAACTGCCCTCAAGCTTTGCTGCCTTGCAGTCTATAAACTAATTTTAACTAGAAATCAAATGCAGATCAGACATACTGTTACTGGAGTTCATAGGTGCTGATACTCACTTCATTAGATAAATAATGTCCTGGTCCTCCTTGAAGGAATGCATATTGTCTTTCATGACAAGTTTTTGACTAAAATCATGATGTTGATAAATGACTGCTGAAACTCTTCCACTCAAATCTTAAAAACAATATTATGCACAATCTCAATTAAAATTACAAGATGTCACCCTAATAAGAGTGTGTTGAGGTTCACTGTCAGTTTTTTCACACCAAATGTTAGCTTAATATTTGTAATATGACTGATTTATAGCCCTTTGTGTTTATGACAAAATGTCTTAGCTGTGGCAGCCATTTTGAATTAATTTGACTCCCAACAGTTGTAGCTGTTCATCCACTGATGACTTTCTGAGAGGTTTAATTAAATGTGTCACATTGTTCATGATATATTTTGTTAACAGACAGGCAAATGAACACATACATGTGCAAAAACATTATTTATATAATTATTATTCAAAATAAAGCTAATTATGTTCAGCACTTGAAGGGGGCTGTGGTAGCTCAGTAATCAGTGTTGCCGTCTCGTGATCCTGAGGCTGCAGGTTCGAGCCAGAATGCAAAGTTTCCTGCAGGTTTGCTTGCTGTGATGACCCCTAAAGAACTTGTTCACCTCCTGAAATTCCTCATTCAACACAAGTGTGTTCCCGCAGTGCACACAAATATGAATACTTATTTTTTCGTCGTACTGCTGTGACTCATCAAAATGCTGTACGAGTGTCAGGAGAAAATCCCCTGGATTTTTACGTCCTTGAAAAAGTCTGAAGTTACTGAAGCACTCTTCAACAGGAGTCCCTTCTCCACCAAATGACAGTTTTCCTGTGAGTCAGAGCAGGAAGCTTTCAGATGTGGCTCACGAACACACTGAGACACTGAGACGCATTTGTTTTTTTCTTGTCATTTCAGGTGAATGTTGATGACACCATTGAGATGCTACCAAAATCAAGGAGAGCACTTACCATTCAAGAGATTGCTGCTTTAGCACGATCGTCCCTGCATGGTGAGTGTAGCACACTTCTAACAATGTGGTGAAATGAACAATGTGCACTCACACTCATGTGGTATAACTCCAGACGTGTGCACTGCAGGTATTTCACAGGTGGTGAAGGACCATGTGACAAAGCCTACAGCCATGGCGCAGGGCAGAGTGGCCCATCTCATAGAATGGAAAGGCTGGTGCAAGCCTATGGACACTCCAGCAGCCCTGGAGTCAGACTTCAACTCTTATTCTGATCTGACAGAGGGAGAGCAGGAGGCACGCTTTGCTGCTGGTAAGAAACTACGTATATATATATATATATATATATATATATATATATATATATAT